TTTTTATCCTTTTGACATACACAAGTGTTTGTCTCGACTAACAGGCTGACTGATTCATCAACGCCTAAACTACTGAAGCTAGTAACATGAAATTTGGAAAGTGGATCACTTTTGCGTTATAACTACCCACTAAGAAAGCATTTTTTGGAAATTACGCCCCTAGAGAGGTAAAATAGGGGATACAAGTTTGCGTAGGAGTCCCGTGAGTTTTTAACTTATACGGGTTCCCTGGGGATGGGAGAGTGGACGGGGTGAAAAATGATATGTCCTAATTGCGAAATCCACGCAAGCACAGCTGCGGCAACAGCTCTTCTAGTTTTCTATATTTTTGTTTAACTACAGCTCTGTGGATTCAATTTTTGCAGAGAGAAAAATAAAAAAAAAACTGTAATTAAAGTAGACAGCAAAGTAAACCATCCATTGTCACAAATAAATAAAAAAAATATATTTCTTCAGGACAGGTAACTTAATATTGTCCACAGATTTTACACATACCCTCGATAGATATAATGAATTGAAAGTCTCTACACTAATTTCATCGCTTATTTTACATATTTATTATCACAGTTATAACATTCATAATTCGTTTCATCTGTGGCTCTGATAGTTCCAACTGAGCAGTGATTTTTCTCCTTTATAGAAAGCTATTCCATTCCTGAAAAAGATTTTTTTAAAGTGTCAATAGAAACTTCTGTTCCTAGAAACTGCGATAAACCTACGTACCTTATGCTGAAACCAACTGAGCATTGTTTTGTTTACCAATTTTCATTCCTTCGAGTGTTTTGCTGCAAATACATTCCTGCGACAGTAAACTCTGGATTAGATAATGCAGTAAGTCATATGTCAAATAAGTTGTCATTATAATAATAATTTTACTTTCTGTTTCTGTTCGTTCGAGCTTTTCTTTGATTGTCAACATAGTTTGCAGTGTTTTTTTGAGTATTTCAAGAAAGGTTGACATTGCACACACGCAGATTCATAATGGTTTATAACTATTTTACGGAAATTTATGTAGAACACATTAATGTAACAAGCAAATGATTTTGACAATGTGATGTCTATTTGACCATATGCATGTTTTGGAATTTTAGGATTATGTAGAAATACCAAGAGCCGAAAAACTATCAAAATACCATAGGAGCTTTACATAGAAAATACATTATCTGTTTTTTAAAACAATATTTTGTATTCACTTTTCTAATTATTTATGGTGGTTAGTAATAAGTAACTTTTGAAACAACTATTTTCAATATTGTGTGGACAATATCGATGACGCGGCCAAAAAACGAAATTATTTTCCGAGTCTTGGCTTGAGAAGAACTGTGCTATGGCTGTTTTCAAAAGTTTTACTACTTTTGTAAGAAGAGCAGAACCCCAAGATCCGACCGATCACCCACCGTAAGTACCGTTTTGGGTTTTCTGCCTGTTTGCGAACCGTTTTTGACTCGCCGTCCCCGAGCGAAAAAATCGTACCGGCCTCACCCTTTTTTTTTCTGTTGATCGCAAGAAACCGGAACCGTTGAGCACGCGTCGCGTTCCGCCACCACCCTCCCTTCTCAGGTCGCCGTACCGTCCTCGCGCGATTTCCCGTTTCCCGTTCCAAAGTCGCCCGTCCCGAAGGAAATCGCCGTTCAGGAGGGAACGACCGTGCTGGACGTTTTGTTCTTTTGTTTTCTTTTGTTAAAGCCGTATTGTAATTTTAGTATTAAGAATTAGCCGTAAAACTATTTTACCTGTGTAGCTGGTTGCAGGAAATAAAAAACCTGATTTATTCTTAGAAATTTTTCTGTTTTATTTCTTGTTTCCGCGGACGTTCACCAGACCACCTGAAGATCCGTGTCTTCGGGTTTAGAGCCACCCCGGTGTCCCCTCCCTGGAGAGGGGGCTGGCGTACGAGCACCGCCGCTAACGACCGAAGATGCCACCCCCGGTGGCGTGAAGGTGACCGCATAAGTCTAGGTAGGCCAAACGTGTTTCATTTTTCAGCTGCATAAGTCGGCCCAAAGCTTGGCACCGAGGCACGCCACCCCCACGAGATATCGGCGAAATTCGGGACCGTCACCGGACTCCGTCCATTCACCGGAGTTTCGTCGTAACGTAATAGCGAGTGCTTAACGTAATAAATAAATATAAAAAAGAAATAAACCAAATTAAAGTACCTATTAATCCTCCTACATAACCTAATTTGAAATAACTTAAACAAATACTAAATAAAATGATAAACTAAATCAAGAACCATGAAGATAATAATATAAATAATACCTATAATTCTAAGGAAAGTATTATTGTACAGTATTTAAAGTTGTAACGACATATTCATTAATAAGATTTAAGGAATCAGCGTTTATGTCACATAGATGTGACACACTGTCAAAAAGTCTACACATAATTAAGGTTGGAGACCTTACTAGAACGTTGGAGTTCGGAGTATCATAATAAAATGTATGAGTATTACGTGAGTTGAAGTGAACAAAATGTTTAATTTGTGACAATAGCCATGGACAATCTATCATATTGTGAGCAAGATTGAAAAGAAATTTAATAAGAATTAATGTGCGACGAGAGTTTAACGATAAGTAATTAAATCTGTTTAAAAGTAAGGAATGATCATAGCTGCCATCGACAAAATAGGTCAAAAATTTGAGATACTGTCTTTGAACAGATTCTAATTGGTCTATGTAAATGTTGTAAATGGGATACCAAATTAATACTCCATATTCGAGTTTGCTTCTAATTAAGGAAGAGAATAAGATGTTAAGAGGTTTGACACTGGTGAAATTTTTACAATTCCTGTATATAAAATCATACATTTTGAATGCCCTTTCTGTAATTTCTTCTATATGTTGATTAAAGGTAAATTTAGAATCGAAAGTAATACCTAAATATTTCACAGTAGTGGAGCATTGTAAGGGAGATCCATTAATCATGTATTGATATTTTATAGGTGTATGCTCTTATTTAGGCAGAGGCGATTATCAGCACACCATGAGGAGATGGAATTAAGATCCCTCTGCAAAAGTACGGAGTCAGTCAGAGTATTTATGCTACTATAAATTTTCAGATCGTCAGCAAAAAGTAGTTTTCTAGCTGAAATGGCTTCAGTTATGTCATTAATAAATAATAAAAACAAAAGTGGCCCCAGCTTAAAATCCTAAGGCACACCGGAAGTTGGTATGTACATTTCAGAAAAGAAGTTTTTGTATCTGACACATTGGCGTAGTTGCAACAGATAGGATTTGAAAAGTAAGAGGAGTGACTCAGTGAAACCAAATTGTTTTAATTTTCCAAGAAGAATATTGTTCATAGATACTATCTTTCATCGTAAACACGCTTGACTGCTTTTTAGTCTTTTACAACGACAAACTTTCCTTAAAAAAACACAAATTGTGTTACACATTTCAGCAAATCAAGCACAATAATTTTGTACCATTTTGTGTGTAACTTCATTACTGATTTTATTACTCGATTTTGCCACCTCATTTGTTACTCTACTTTTTGACCTTTCAAATGGTTCATAATTGTTTACGGCATTTTTTCCTTTCACCAAAAATATTTTAAATCAGTACACTATAAAATTTCGAAATCCGTTATGTTTGATCTGCAAATATAATACAATAAGTATAACAAAAAAAACAAGCAAGACAAGGACAAAAATTCCACAGTACTTAATATACATATATAAATAACGTGGAACAAAATACAATCTTGTACATACCAAGGGCAGATCTGCTTTGTGTTTACATCTTGCGGAAAGTCTTGCCTAAGCTACAAACAAATTCATTTATCGTCACCGTGCTGTTCCGTAATTACAAATGTACATTATCGTCTGTTTTGTTTTTTAGACTCACACGTGCGTTAAATGATTCATATTTAACAACCCTCAAGTATGTTGCGAGAGGAACGTGTCGCCTCAAGGTATATGAAAACTTCCATACATTTTTTAAACTGAACTATTACGTGAAAACGCTTTTAACATGCAAGTCCTTGACATTGACAAATACATTGATATTCGTACGTTATAATTAGGTTTTTATTTTATGTAGAAACAGTTTCGAAAATATTGTATGATATAGTGCGTCCCCCTTGAAAGTTGAAAGTCACATATTTAAAAATAACTAATCAGTGAAGTTTTAAGTATAACCATTTTTTTGTATAAAAATGCAAATGTGTATGTTGAAAACTATTGATTAGAAACCCTTCTCTAAATCTAAATTTGTAAAAGTTTAGAGAGTTTGCGAACTTTAGTTGCTATTTTCCAGTTTTTATCGTTCGCTCTTATGTCCTCTTCTATTTATTTTCCCAATTTCTCTCTTGGTCTCTTCCGATTCATTTGGACCCACTCATTTTATTCTTCCTTCTATGGCATTCGTTCTTCTGTCATTTTTGTATGGAATATTAATTAATTTACAAGTATTTATTGTTTTCTTACGTTATTCTGTCCTCGAGTTTTTCCGCATCAACTCTACCAGGAGTTTCGTTTATTGTTTGAAGTGTAATAGATTATTTATGTTGGTAATATGAATTTTAAAAATTTAAAATCAAAACATTAATCTTATACCTTATGTTTTGTGTTCATTTCGAAACCTATTGATTTAATAGTTAGTATCTTGGTGATTTTTGTGTTCGCAGGATCTAATACAGTCTATTATCCATAATTACAATTCTTATACTAAGTTGTATTAATCATAGTTTTTAATCTACGTTGTGTCGTTTTTCCTAGCAAAAGTAGAAAAGGATTACATCCTGAATTAAATCTTCTAGTCTAGAGGGTGCAATTAGGTTCGAACCGGTTTGCTAAAGAGTGTTTTCCATGAAACAGTAAGTAATTTTTTTGTTATTTAATTATTAACTCTCCGTAACTAATACACTTGTAAGTACATGACGACAGACTGTTTAAAATTCATAAAAAGATTTGCTAACTCAAATAATTAATTTATTGCTACATACAATTTTGAGATAAAATTTGTATATACAATAAATGCTTTACATATAAACTGTTGTTGATTAATATATCACTAAATAATCGCTTGGTTAGAGCACAGTTAACTTTAAAATGACATTTCAGTCCTTGCGATTACTTGCTTGGTCTTTATATTTTGTTGTCGTGCAACAATTTGGCTTTAAAACAAGCGATGATATCAGTTCTCAAAATAATACGTTGGTACTTGTGCACGTAGTAAGTATTAATAAATACACGAAGAATAAAATTAAAATACAAATAAGGTAAAAGCTTTTCAGGCATGGAAATAGGACTGTTAACGGTTTTGAGGAATTGTACCCAAAAGATCCGTATTTGAATGAAACATATTTTCCATTTGGTCTTGGTCAATTAACAACTGTAATTAATGTAAATGAATTTACTTATCTTTAATTATACAGATATTATTCTAGGCTGGTAAAATAAAAGAGTACAATATCGGAACAGCATTACGGAAAAGGTACAACGAATTTCTGGGACCCTATTATTATCCAGATATTGTTGAAAGTTGGAGTACGGATTACAATAGAACAAAAGCGTCTTTAGAGCTAGTTTTAGCTGGGTTATTCCCTCCTCACAAGGAAGAAGTGTGGAATCAACAGTTATTGTGGCAACCTATTCCTTACAACTATTATCCTGCTGCACAAGATAAAGTACATCAAGTGATTATGGAAGTACATTTCATTAGTTCTTAGCTTTTTAGGTTTTATTAGGAGTTACTTGTCCTTACTATTTAGAATTATATGATCAAGAAGTCCAATTGCACCGTGACCGCAACATGTTTGATAAATACAACAACATTTTTCAATATATTTCTAATCATACTGGTCTTAACGTTACGAAATATTTAGATGTGTATAATTTATATTTCGGGCTTGGAACAGAAGTAAGTATATACCTAACCAAGAAAAGGTACTTGATGTCACTTTAACATATATGATATAGGAAGAATGGGGTTTTGAATTACCAGAATGGACGAAACCAGTATGGCCGCAAACTATTGTTGACTTAACTATAAATGAATATTTTATATCAACAGCTACTACAGAAATGAATCGTATGGCGTCTGGTAGAAAATGAAATGTGAAATAGTGATCTTTCATGCTTCTAATTAGTTCATTTTAGGATACTTTTTACAAAAAGTAGTGAGTGATTCATTTTCCAAAATTAACAACATTAAATCTGGTAGAAAAGTATATCTATATTCTGCCCACGAAAATAACATCGCTGAGCTTTTGATACTTCTGGGAATTTTTGAACCGCTACATATACCCGATTATGGTTCATATGTAATGTTTGAAATTCACAAAATTAACAACGAACATGGTGTCAAAGTCTGTTGAAGTAGTACTTTATATTTATTATAGTTTATTTATTATATTTTTTGCAGATCTATTACGAAAATTATGTAGCAAATGGACCTCAACTTTTGAAGTTACCAGGATGTGATACCTTCTGTGAAATTACAAAATTTGTATCTTTAATCGAGGAATATTTTCCACCTGACGATTTATGTTATAAAAGTCAAAAGAGTCATAATTACCAATAACAGGAAGTATAGGTATTCTAAAATACAACCAGTTTTAAGTTAATAAGGATTCTAAAGATTTTGGCCTCTTTAACGTTCATTGTGCTACCATTAATAAATACTAGGTACCAACTATTAAAAGTTTAATTATTGATATGATTTTTACTTCCCAAGCATAAAGTAAAGTAGGTATTGTAATATGGTAATAATTTCATGTTTTCTTAACGTTTCATAGCCCGTTGAGAATGGAGCAGTGGGTCCCTATTTCTATATCGTGTTCTGTCGTCTGTGAACGATTTTATTAGACAGGAGAGCAGTTCTGTCTAAATAACCTTAGACCAATTTTTTAAAACTCTAATCCTAGTGTGACAGATTAATAAAAAAATTATATTGTAACGAAGCGAATTTTCGACGGGTGTTGAGCCACGACAAGAGTATAAGAAGAAGATTTTTTGTGACAACCACCCCGTGCCGTCGGTCGCGGCGAGGGCAGCTCAGTAGTATATGAGGGCAATTAGTGCATTCCTTAATTACCGTCCTAATTACCCGCCATGTCCTAATTATCCGCCCTGGCCTAATTACCCGCCCATTAAGAAGTCATTAAGAAGTGCCGCCATGTTTTGGCCTAATTACCTGCCCATTAAGAAGTCGTTAAGAACTTCCCTAATTACCCGCCGTGTCTCTGGCCTCTCATTGGTCGGGCTAGTGTATAAAATGAAAACAAAGTGTTGTGTTTGTGTCATTCTGTACCCCAAGTTCTACGTCGAAGAAGACCCCTAGGTGAAGTAAGTGATTTTTTTTTTATTTATTTTTCTGTTTTTTAATTATTTTATTTTGTATATAGAACCAATGGTTGGTGAGAAACGCGCCCTACATGTGAATTTGATGTCGAAAGCAACCTAAGTGCAAAAAACTGAAGCTGATCATTACGATTTTTTAATTTATTTTAGATGAATTAATGAATTAAATAAAATTATTGAAATATAACAAATTTCGCCTATACGAAAATACTCAGCAGACTCAGTTGTGGGAGTAAAAAGTCGTCTGAACTGTATTGAAGTCTCAAAATAGGTATACTGGTTTATCGAAATGTCGGATGGAACTCTAAGACGAAAAAATATATTCAACTAATAGCCTTATGTAAAAGTAAAAAATTATCGCAAAATTTGCTTGTCTATTTTATGTTATGTATCCACTTTAGCTTATTATGTACAAAGTAAGTATAGTGAAAAAAAATAAAGAAATAGAAATATACTTTTTTTTATTACTCCCCTATTATAATTACTGTTATCGGAATCCCAAGTCTTAAAGGGAAAGTACGAGTTATAACGTGACAATGAAAAGCAAGAAAACATAGGTCTACAACCAAAAAATTGTCAAGAAAAAGAATAGACGGACTTTACTAAGTTGATGTGTGCACACAAGCCGCATTACACGAATTTATTATTATTACCATACCCGACATTTAAGAGGAAAAGAGCTTTATTTTTGAAAAGTTGTACAAGTCTGTAATATTTTGTTAAGAAACTATTTAATTCATCTTAAATAATTTTAAAACATAATGATAATTAAAATGATATAAGAATTTGATATTATTCTTGATTAGTAATTACATCATTCTTGATTATTAATTAAATTAATTGTATTTGGCGGCCATCTTAGACTGCAGGAAATTATACCAAAATGTATAAGAGGAAAAGAGATAGCTTTACTTTGATAAATAATAAGTAAGGAAATATATATTTCAATAATTTTATTTAATTCATTAATTCATCTAAAATAAATTAAAAAAATCGTAATGATAATTAAAAGAATATAAGAATTTGATATCACTCTTAATTAAATTAATTGCACTTGGCGGCCATATTAGAGCGCGGGAAATTATACCAAAATATATAATAGGAAAAGAGATAGCTTTACTTTGATAAATTATAAGTAAAGAGATATATATTTCAATAATTTTATTTAATTCATTAATTCATCTAAAATACATTAAAAAATCATAATGATAATTAAAAAAATATAAGAATTTGATATCACTCTTGATTAGTCATTAATTACATTTGGATTAAATGATGTCACTGATGTCACAGGAAATTATACCAAAATATATAGGTAAGAGGAAACGAGATAGCCAGGAATCAGCTTCAGTTTTTTGCACTTAGGTTGCTTTCGACATCGAATTCACATGTAGGGCGCGTTTCTCACCAACCATTGTTTCTATTTGCAAAATAAAATAATTAAAAAACAGAAAAATAAATAAAAAAAATTCACTTACTTCACCTAGGGGTCTTCTTCTACGTAGAACTTGGGGTACAGAATGACATAAACACAACACTTTGTTTTCATTTTATACACCAGCACGACCAATGATAGGCCAGAGACACGGCGGGTAATTAGGGAAGTTCTTAACGACTTCTTAATGGACGGGTAATTAGGCCAGGGCGGGTAATTAGGACATGGCCGGTAATTAGGAGGGTAATTAAGGAATGCACTAATTGCCCTCATATACTACTCAGCTCGATTCTATGGCAGCTCGAGAGAACTTAGTGTGCAAAAAAAGCAGCAAAAGAGATAATCTATATGTTTTGGAAGTTTTCTTTACTTGCTTCAAATTTTTTTAGTCATATAGTTTTATCATTTAGCTTCTGTACTGGTGGCAGTAAATAAAGGTCGAATATCTTTTTTACTGGAGCATTATTTCGGTCACAGCTGCTCACGGCAAATGGGCGCCCTGGGCTCTTTTTATCAAAAACGGGTGTTTGCCACTTTATTTTTAATTTCTTTCCACGTCTTTTCGTTCAAATATTGGTCTAACGATATTTAGACAGAACTTTCCGGGGTCTGAAGTACAGTCGAATAAATACCACTTCTTAGAAAAATTAAAAAAAATTATTTTGTGCATTGCATTTATTTTTTTATGACAATCCGTATAACTTAGAATAAAAATATGTGTAGAATGTTAAAGTACCAGTAAAGAAGGAAGCTATGCAGTGACTTAAATAACACCCCCGCAGTCCTGAACAATATGAAATATCTTTAAAGGAAATAACCAACGGGCAAAAAGATATTACTATTATATGCTTTACCCCCTGTTTGTGTTTATACATTGAACAGAGGCTACCACTAAGCATGTAGCAAGGTGGTTGCCAAAGCTTGTCTCCTCAAAAGACAAGAGGCGACTAAAATTATGAATTAAGCTGCAGCAGGACAAGTTGTTGTTAATATTATTTTGACTAAGCAGCTCTTATTATGATCATTCTTATTATAATTAAAGATGGGTATGTGTAACATTACTGTATTTTGAAATTTTCGAGAAAATGGGGTGAATCATTCTTGATTTAATCAATAAAAAAATTGTAACGCATGAGTTAATCCAACCAGCGACCAGTTTCCACACGTCAACTCTTTATCTTGGTCGCCAGTGGAAGATATTTCTAGTTCACCTTTCCAAGGCCTCAATGCATCCCAATTAAATACTGCTCCAGAATTTTTAAAACCCACAAGGCCAGCTCAACAGTCCAAAAAAATCAAGAAAAGTTTATCTTCTGATAGTCTAACTTCAGATAATGGAAATTTGAGCAAAATAGCTGAACATCTTCAACCATTGAAACCAATTATGCAAGAGAATCCAGACCAATTCATTTTATCCTACGATCAACTTCAAATCTTTTTGGAAAATGTAACCGGCTCCGCAGACCCAATAGCAGTAGCTAAAGAATTTACTCAAGACCTAGCAAAACTAATAGATATGCTTTACCAACTATATCCACATCTGACAAATCGTACGATGAAAACCCGTTTCACTAAGATTCGGAAGAAATTAAACCCACTAGTTAATCCCTCAGATGATGACGGCGAAGCAACCGATTCATCCCAGACATTTTAAGTTTCTCATAGCCCATTCATATTACAATGGAATTTAAACGGGTTTTATACCCGCCTTCCTCAATTGCAAGTTTTAATGTCTGAATGTCGTCCTTCTATCATGTGCTTACAGGAAACTAATTTTAAAAACAACCATTACTACTGCCATAAAGAATATACTTGTTTTTATAAAAACAGATTGCTGAGTTCTATAGCTAGTGGTGGAGTGGCTATATACGTAGATTCTTCCTATCAGGCAATGCAAATTCCACTACAAACTCGTCTTGAGGCGATTGCGATTGAAGTGACACTCAAGCAGTCATTCTCAATCTGTAACATATATTTGTCACCTTCAACGACATTTTCTCTCGAGGAATTAGAAAATATTTATCAGCAACTACCCCACCCGTGCATCATTGTAGGAGACTTCAATGCACATAACATTCTCTGGGGTTCTATCACAACATCTTCAAAAGGCACAATAGTTGAGGACTTCCTTGGCTCCACCAACATGGTCCTTTTAAATACTGGACAGGCCACTAGAATCAACATAGCTACAGGCACTACGTCGGCCTTAGATCTAGCATTTTGTGACCCCTCTTTGGCTCATATATTCAGTTGGAGCCCTTACTCATATCTATATGGAAGTGATCACTTGCCAATTAAGTTGGACCTGCTCTCACAACCTTCAAATCCGAATATTGCAGTTGGTCAGTTTAAGCCTAGATGGAATCTCCTGAGGGCTAATTGGAATGAATATCAAGCAGAAATCGATCAAAATTTAGGGTCGTTAAATACTAACATGAGTCCAGAGAGTGTTCTATCTCAACTCAATCACCTTATAGTCAGTGCCGCTCATAACCATATTGGAAAGACCAAACTAATACCAAGAAAAACTGTCCCTTGGTGGAACGTAGAATGTGCAGAAGCATTGCGAAAAAGCAAAAGAGCCTTCAATGTTTGGAAACGTAAAAAATCACAAGACTCTTTTATTGAATTCAAAAAAACTCCGTGCACAAACACGTCTTATCATCAAAAGAGCCAAACAAAACTCCTGGATGAACTTTGTTTCCACCCTTCACAGCAATACTCCTACCAAGGTAGTATGGGACAGAATTAAACGTATTAAGGGTAATACTTATCAACCGGGTCCTGCGCAGATAATTTCTCACGGTTCTGTTATTGATGACAATCAAGGCATAGCAAATCTTCTTGCACAAAAATTCGAGACGGCCTCAAGCAATGCAAACTGCACCCCCGCCTTTTTATCCCACAAAAACC